AAGCTTAACATTACTGAATTATCCATAAACATCAATTCAGCTCCAGTTGGCCAAAAAACACAACAGCGTCCAGTAGGAGAAAAACTTAACTGTCCACCATAGCATCCCACTGATCTAACAAAGCACCACTGTAAGGAATTAAAGATAGTGGCTAATTATCAACAAGAGTTTGTTCATGGTGCAATATAATTCACCCTAAACATCATTTCAGCTCCAATTGGCCGTAAAACTATAAAAAGTCTAGTTTGAGAAGAATAATAACTGTTTCCGACGGAATCCCGCCGATCCAACAAAGAGGTACTAATTTAAGGAAGGACAATGGCACATAATTTGTCATGAGGTCGTCTGTGATGTAATATTATTCCCTCCAAACAACCTTTCAGCTTCAGTTGGCAGTTGGCACCCTGCTCTGAATAAAAGTGCTTCACACCTCAGGAGAAGACCGATGGGAGTTTGTTTAAGAAACAACGAGTAGTTTTAACCAGGTATGTGTATCACTGCTCCGCAGTTTATTGCACAATCTCCTTTACAAATTAAAATTGAAGTGTGTCTGAAAAAGTTAAGCGAAAACCCATGCCCCCTCAATTGTAGTTCTCTATTTCCCAATATAATGATTAAGGAGCACTAAAATATAAGGAAACCACAGATACCAAAGTTTTAAATGAATGTTACATTGTACAATTATTAATGATCTTTACTTGTGTGCGAAGCCCAATTTCCTACAAAAGTAACATTTTCTCGTAACTGAATTTTGAAAGTTGATTTTGAATTGATGACGAAACAGGTGAGTCTCCCGATTTCAAGAAATGTAAAACTACAAATTGCACTCGCCTCATGGAACTCAGCAGTTTTGTTGTGATAGGAAAAAATATACTCGTGCTTATTTACAGCAACTTGAAATTGCACTCGCAATCATGTTATTACCTATACTTAAAGTCTTTTACAAGCTGTAAAAAGTAACTAACGTTTTCACGCAGTTTCTCATTTTTTCCCGCAAACTGATCAGAAAAGATTGAGACTTCAAAAGCAGAGGGAAGAAAGGCAGATTTTAAAGTGACAAAATTTCGTTTTTCTTCAATGACCTTTCAAGGAATTTTTTCTCAAAATTGTCTTTAACTCAAACATTAGCAATAAACAATGTTCATCTTGTTTTCGCAGGTGTCATAGATCTGATATGCTTCTCATGGCTCGTCGACAAGCTTCATTTTTTATCGTGCTATTTTTCATTTCTCAACTGTTCCGTGACAATGCCAGTCAGCAGTGTGGAGCCGGCGGCGACCTATACTCCATTTACCAAATGATGCTCAAGGGCCACACTTACAAGTCGTTCAAGACTGCACCGGGTACTCTAGAATGCAGAGAAGCTTGTCTTGCTGATGTTAAATGTCAAAGCTACAACGTCGTTATGTTTATTGCAATATGCGAGTTAAACTACCGATCTAAAGAAGCCAGACCAGAGGACTTTGTCAAGAACAAGGACAGATACTACATGG